GCGTCCCCTGTGTCTTCCTTGGTTTCCCTGAGGCCTCCTCTGACTTCACCTTTTTCCACCCTCCCTCCCACCGGTTCTTTGACTCTCGTGACGTCAGTTTCGACGAGTCCGTCCCCTACTACGTCCGGTACCCCTGTCGAGGTCTCCCGGTTCCCCCCCCCTCCCCTCTTCCTCGCCCCAGCTCCTCCTCCTCCCGCTCCCTCTCCTCCGGTACCCCCCCCGGTTCCCGCTCCGTCAGGTGTGTCGCAGGCTACCCCCCCTCCCTCGGTCCCCCCCCAGGTCTCTCCTCCTTCCCCACAGTCGTCCTCACAGCCTCCGCAGCAGCCATCGGCGCTTCCTCTCCCGGCCACTGCGGACTTTGAGGGTGTTGGTGCTCAAGGTGAGGGCTCTGGCGGTGCTGGTTCTGGGGGTGTTGGAGTTGGAGCTGAGCGTGCACCTGCCGCAGCTGCACGTCCCGAGCGTGTTGGAGTCGGTGGTGGTGCTGGAGCTGGTGGTGTTTCTGGAGCTGGAGAGTCTGGGGCTGGTGCTGGTGCCACTGGCGGCGCCACGACTGGGGGTGCGGGTACACCTCCTACAGGTACTGGTCGTGCTGCCGCAGGGGGTCCTCGCTCTGGGGGTGCTCAGCCGGGTCCTGTCGAGGGTGGAGCCGGTTCTTCTTCGTCGTCTCCTGACACCACTCCTCCTCCTCACCCCTACCCGACTCGTTACCAGGCCCTTCGTCGTCTAGAGCGTGAGGAGCAGCAGCGTTTGGAGCGTGAGAGGTCGGAGGTTCAGCAGCGGGTGGAGCGTGAGCGGTTGGAGTTTCAGCAGTAGCAGCAGCAGCAGCAGCAGCAGCCGCAGCCACAGCCACAGCAGCAGCAGCAGCAGCCGCCGCAGCTGCCGGAGCAGCCTCCGGCCCCTGTTTCTGGCCTTCGGGCCCTTGGTCTCCCCTCCTCTCCTCCTGTGTTTGGTCCCACGTTTCCTCCTCCGGACTCCACTCCGGCTGTCTTCCCTCGTTCTCAGTCTCCTCCGTCCCCCCCTCCTCTCGCCCACACTTGGGCCTCTCGCCCTCCTCGTGCTCGTCCCTCGTCCCCTATCACTGACCTCCGTACCGTGTTGTTTCGTCCTCGTCCTCCTCGTTCTCCTCCGTCTGTCCTTCCTCGTCCTCCTGAGTCTTCCCTCACTGCCTCCCTGTCCACTCCGGTCACTGACTACTACCGCACGTACCGCCCCACTCTCTCTCGTGTTCTCGCCTCTCTTGTTACAGACCCTCGTGCCTCTCCTTCCTCCGTCGCGGTCCTCACTGCCGCTGTCACTGACTTTACTGCTACGCGTCGCCTTGACTACGCCACTCGAGTTGTGGCAGCTCCTCCTGTCCGTCCTCTGTCCGCCGGGGGTGTGTGTGCCCTTGGCTGTGACGTCCTAGAGGACAGACAGTTTGAGCTAGAGTTCCTGGCAGCTGCTTCGCCTCATCTCTGTGCCATGCTGCTCACTCCTGAGGGAGACCCCGACGCTCCTGACATACCTACTCCTCGCACTTACGCTGAGGTAGTGTCAGGGCCTTGGGCCTCTCAGTGGAGAGCTGCCATGGACGCAGAGATGGCCTCCTACAGGTCCACAGGCACTTACGTTGACGAGGTTCCCCCCCCAGGGGCGAACATTGTTGACGGCATGTGGATCTTCAAGGTGAAGCGGCCGCCGGGATCTCCCCCAGTCTTCAAGGCACGCTACGTGGCTAGAGGGTTCATTCAGCGCGAGGGGGTTGACTTCTTTCAGACCTTCGCGCCCACCCCGAAGATGACCACTCTTCGGGTGTTACTGCACGTAGCAGCGCAGAGAGACTACGAGCTACACTCTCTTGACTTCTCCACTGCCTTCCTCCAGGGCTGCTTACACGAGGAGATCTGGCTGCGTCGTCCTCCGGGCTTCACTGGCACTTTCCCGCCTGGGACCCAGTGGAGCCTCAGACGACCGGTCTACGGCTCCGCCAGGCACCCCGTGAGTGGCACGACACTCTCCGCTCTACTCTCTCCGACCTTGGGTTTGAGCCGTCTTCCGCCGACCCGTCGCTGTTTGTTCGTCGTGGCCGTACACCTTTCTTCGTCCTAGTCTACGTTGACGACTTGGTTTTTGCCACGGCCGACACAGCTGCACTGGCCGAGGTGAAGTCCGAACTGCAGAAGAGACACACCTGCACTGACCTTGGGGAACTGCGCCGCTACCTTGGCCTGCAGATCTCCAGGGACAGAGCCGCTCGCACCATCACCCTCACTCAGTCACACATGGTGCAGCAGGTTCTTCAGCGGTTCGGGCTTCAGGACTCTTCTCCTGCCCCCACTCCTCTTGCTGTAGACCACAGACTCACTGGGCCTTTTCCTGACGAGCCGCTCGAGCCCAGTGGTCCCTACGCAGAGCTGGTGGGCTGCCTCATGTACCTGATGACGTGCACTCGCCCGGACCTCGCCTTCCCCCTTAGCATCCTGTCTCGCTTTGTTGCGACTGGGAGACACCGTCCTGTTCACTGGGCGGCGGCTAAGAGGGTGGCGAAGTGCCTTGGCGCGACATCAAGCATGGGGCTTGTACTTGGAGGGACACAGCCAGTTGTACTCACCGGTCACTGTGACTCTTCCTACGCTGACGACGTTGAGACTCAGAGGTCTACGCAGGGTTACTGTTTCAGCCTGGGTTCTGGAGCTGTTTCGTGGAGGTCTACTCGGTCCTCCTATGTTGCGACTTCTACCGCAGAGGCCGAGATCTACGCTGGGGCCCTTGCTGCTCAGGAGCTACGCTGGTTGACCTTTTTGCTCACTGACCTTGGTGAGCGGCCGAGCTCTGCACCGACCCTGTTTGCTGACAACAGGGCGATGATTCTCCTGTGTCGTGAGCCTCGACTGGAGAGCCGAGTGAAGCACATCGACGTTAGGTACTTCCTCCTTCAAGAGTTGCAGAGACGCGGACAGGCTCGTCTGGACTTTGTGGCCTCCGAGGCCAACACTGCAGACATCTTCACCAAGGCCCTCCAGCCTTGTGACCACCGTCGGTTTTGTCTGCAGTTAGGCCTCGTTGAGGCTGGGTCTAGTTGACTGCTGTAGGGTGCTCTTTGTCTGTTGCTTGCTTGTACCTTATATATATATATATTTGTTTGCACACTTTTGGACTGGCCTTGTGGCCCTTTGCTTGTGCTCAGATTAGGTGGTGACGTTGTCATCCACCCTGAGCTTTGTTTTCTTTCTCTTGTTTTTGACTGGTCTTGTGACCGTAGGTTGCTTGTTGTTGATTGGCCTTCCCCACTTAGGATATGGGGGTGTGTCAAATATTATAGCCTGTAGTGGGTTGGGCTATATGGGGTACAACTAGTTAGGGTTAGGTGATGTACCCCAATTCTGTCAATACAACGCATTCCGCTGTAGTTCTCATTCTGACAGGTACCTCCATACTTCGTCGTATCAGATGAAAGCATACTCGGTGTCCGAAATGTCAGACAAAATATAACGCGCTGCTTTATTTTTAAGACGAAATAAAATCCTCTGTCTTATGGTTCAGATGAAATTAAATTGCTGGTCTTGAAAATCATATGAAACGAAAAAAGTAGGTCTGTTTTTCAGACCATCAGACCGATGTGGTCTGATAACCAGAGCCCTGGCGAGGATTGCGCTAGGTGTCAAACGAGTACAAAGTACGAGCGAAGGCATGAGCGAATACATGTGCGGAACATGTAACGGTTACGCGGTGTGTGCGAGCTAGCTAGTGCTAGTCTGGCATCGAGGCTCGGGCTAGTTCTGAAGCGTAGGCCGACTGGGCTAGGCCAGCGGTGCATGGTTTGGTAAAACAGTGCGCGCGAAGTTGGCGAAGCCCCGTTTGCAGTTACGGGCGAACAACGGCGGCTGCTGCTGTACGTACGCGATGTTGACAGTCTTGGTAAAGAATGGTGAGAAAAATCCTTACAACGGTATAGGATGAAGACAGTCTTTTTTCTCAAAACATTGTACGCTTGCCAAAAAAATGCTCACAAGAAAACTTGATGTAGGTGTGCACGATAAGACCCTAGGTTGATATACCCGGTGATTACAATACGTGCGGTATCCCCATTCGCACTACTGCAAATCATCACACACTACTGCCCTCTTCCAACCAACCACTACCACCTTCATGAACTTGATTTCTTTCAAATCACCTTTCACAATCCCAGCCCCCCAGTTCACTGCCACAGCCGCTCCACATCCTCATGCACCTCCCTCACCCTCTCCATCTTGATTCGACGACGCACTTCACAACACAACACCCCCCTTTAAGCCCAAAACCCGCAGTCCCCCAATCCCCCAATCCTTGCATCTCATCCCAGCCACATCCTATCGCTCTGCTCTCAAAAGTCCCTCTCTCTTGTCTCAACGCCCTCTCAGTCACAGTACCACCCCCCTACAGTCCCGGACCCATCGTCCTCCCATCCATGCATCTCAGCCCAGCCACTACATCCCACCGTACCACTTTGTAGCTGCTCCAGCTACTCCCTCTGCCTCGACTCTTCCTCATCGTTCCCTACGCCACAGTACCACAACTCTACATTCCATTTGAGGATTCTCAAGAGGCTCTCATCTCGTCTCGTCTCGTCTCGTCTCGACTCGTCTCGACACCTCAACCTCCTCACTCACAGTATCAACCGCGTACGGACAGACGAAGTCCCACACCGTCCTCCCATCCTTACGCCTCAGCCCAGCCACATACTGTTGTTCCAGCTGCTCCTGCACCTCCCTCGGCCTCTGTCCCTGCCCATGCACACCCTCACAGTCCCAAACCCACCGTCCGCCCATCCTTACGTCTGAGACCAGCTACATACTGTCGCTCCAGCTGCTGCTGCTGCTGCTGTTGCAGTTCCCTCTGCCTCCGCCGCTGCCCATGCACACCCTCACAGTCCCAAACCCACCGTCCTTCCGTCTTTACACCTCAGACCGGCCACGTACTGCCGCTCCAGCTGCTCCTGTAGCTCCCTCTGCCTCACCCCCGTATCACCCAAATCCTTGTCCTTAAAGCCCCAAACCCACCGTCCTCCCATCCTTGCGTCTCAGCCCAGCCACGTATTGTCGCTCCAGCTGCTCCTGCAGCTCCCTCTGCTTTTCTTCTGACATCACCACCCCCACTGGTGCATTGGCTGCTGCTGCTGCTGCTGATGCCGTGGCTGGAGCGGCCTTTGCTCCCTTCAACCCCTGCACGGCACGCCAGGGCACAGGGATGCATGGCGAAGGTAAGAAAAAAGGGGGATGGGCAGGCGAGAAGGTAGCATAGGGAAGATTGGATAAGTCTGTGCAATCTGCAGCAGCTGCTGGCATGGCTGGTGCTGCGTTCGCTCCTTTCAGCCCCTACACACCATCGCGACTCATGAGGCACATGGGACGTGTGGAGGAGGGAAGACCAGAGGTGTGTCAGGGAGGGGGGAGGTTAGCATAGGAGGGAAGAGGTTGGCACAGGGTAGATTAGATTAGCTGGCTTGCCGTCCTTTTGAGACGTCTCAAAACTGGAGAGGGAGGGAGGGGGGACAAGAAATGGGCCCACATGTATCTTGCACCTGAATGTTGCAACAACAGCACATCACACGAAGCAGAAAAAGTTGAAACTTCACTATGAGACTTTGAATGAAACTTCACCATGAGCCTTTGAATGAAACTTCACCACGAGCCTTTGAATGAAACTTTACCATGAGCTTTTGAAACTTCTCTTCTCGGCTCCGATCCCCAAAATGCACGTTCTCCCACCCCTTGCTGCTGCTGCCACCAACCCCTCCCGCACCAGCTGCACCAGTCGCACCCACACCAACTGCACCAGCTGCACCAGTCATGCCGGTCACTCCACCACCAGTTGGCCCTGCAGCATCAGCAGCAGCAGGAGGCGCGGCAACAGCAGCAGCAGGAGCCGTGGTAGCAGCTTGTGCAGAGTCCTGGAAAGGGGCAAGGGGAGGGTGGGTGACAGGGAGGGTGCCGTCTGGGAGCGTGAGGGGGGGGAAGAGTGTTAGATAACAGCGAAATGGACTAGAGTCACTAGACACATAGAGACAGACAGATAGCATAAACGCGTTCCAATGACAAATACTGAGCAGAAGGTTCTTAGGCAGACATAAAAACTTACTTATGAACAGTTTCCTAGAAGGGTCTTCCAGAGAAAGAACCTACCAATTGCACGACAAAGCTTACACAACTTTTTTTCGACCACTCTCGCCGTTCTGTCCCCTCTCTAACCTCGAATTCACCTTCCCCAACCACTCTCAACTCAATACCTCCCAACCAATTTCAACCCAACTCAACCTCTGAAACCATTCTCAGCCACTCTTAACCGCGCCTGACCTTCTTTGAGCCCCACAGCAGCTTCCTCTTCTCCTCTGCCGTCATCCCAGTCTTTCCGAGAGCCGCCCCTCCAACAACATTGCTCCCTGCGGCTCCTCCAATGCCTTTGCTCACTGGGCAAAGGCAGTGGGTGGAGAGGAAGGAAGGAAAGGGAGGGAAAGGAGATACAGAGGGCAGCGGGAGGAGACAGAAGATTCTGAACAATTGAGTAAGAGACCTGGGCTCTGTCTCTCAAGCCCGGGCTGTCGTTCCAGAAACGTGGGAGCGACTGACAACTCTGGCTCTCAAACTGATGCACTTGAGGATTAGAGAATAAGACAAAGCTGCTGCTTGTACGGGGCATGATGGGGCTGCGGTAGCTGTAGTGACAGCCGTTGCAGGAAAAGGAGAAGCTGCCGCGGCAGCTGAGCTGCTGCTACTGCCATCGCAGGGTTCATATTTCAAATGCTGATTAATGCAAAGAGCCCACGCGTCTACTTGGTGCTGTCCATCGTCATCGAGAACACTGATTTCTAGACACAAAAAGTGTGCCGGGGGAAGGTGAGAGGTTAAAAAAGGGAGGAAGGTAAAAGATGTATATTGACAAATGAACGCGAAGAGTTCAAGCTCCCACATGGTGCTGTCCATTGCCGGAGGAACACGTTCTGTGTCAGGCGATCAATGCTCTTGAAGGCAATGGATAGCACTAGGTGGAAGCGTGAGCTCCCTGCATTCATCTGTCAATGTGCATCTTTTACCTTCCTCCGCCCATTTGACCTTCCCTCCCTCTAAATTTCCCCTAGCACACGTTCTGTGCAAAACGATCAGTGGTCTCGATGACAATGGACAGCACCAAGTGGGAGCGCGAGCTCTTTGCATCCATTTGTCGTTGTTGCGGTCATCTCTAAGTTGCTGCTACTGCTGCCGCTGCTGCAGGGCTCACATTTATGACTTTTGAGTCGACTCAAAAGTCAACTCGCTGCTGCAGGGCTCACATTTATCCCAACGTCTGTAGCCGTAGCACCAAAAACCCCAAAATCACCCACCTCCTCCCATCACTCACTTAGGCTCTGGCTGCTTCAACCGTCTGAGATGCTGCCCAACAACTCACCCACCTCCCCTCTTCACCCACCCACCTTCCCCTTCCACTCACCCACCTCCCCTCTTCACCCACCCACCTCTCCCTTCCACTCACCCACCTCCCCCCTTCACCCACCCACCTCCCCCCTTCACCCACCCGCCTCCCCCCTTCACCCACCCGCCTCCCCCTTGCACTCACCCGCCTCCCCCCTTCACCCACCCGCCTCCCCCCTTCACCCACCCGCCTCCCCCCTTCACCCACCCGCCTCCCCCCTTCACCCACCCGCCTCCCCCCTTCACCCACCCGCCTCCCCCCTTCATCCACCCGCCTCCCCCCTTCACCCACCCGCCTCCCCCTTCACCCACCCGCCTCCCCCTTGCACTCACCCGCCTCCCCCTTGCACTCACCCGCCTCCCCCTTGCACTCACCCACCTCCCCCATTCATTCACCCATCGCCGCCGCTCTCGTTGCTGCAACCATCTGCGCTGCCGCTGCCGCCGCTGCTGGCGCTGCAGGGTTCACCATTATCCCTTCAGCAGCTGAAGCCGTAACACCAGAGAAGCCAGATGTAACAACCATCAACCACCCAACAACTCACCCACCTTCCCCCGTCACTCACCCATTGCCGCCGCTCTCGTTGCTGCAACCATCTGAGCTGCTGCCGCCGTCGCAGCCGCCGCTGCAGGGTTCACACTTATCCCGCCACCAGCTGAAGCCGCAACACCAGAAACCCCAGACTCACCTCCCCCCCCTCCTTTCCCCCGTCACTCACCCATTGCCGCCGCTCTCGTTGCTGCAACCATCTGAGCTGCTGCCGCCGCTGCAGGGTTCACACTTATCCCGCCAGCTGTAGCCGTAACACCAGAGACACCAGATGTAACACCGGAAATTCCAGATGTAACACCAGAAGCACCGGATGTAACCGTTGAAAAGCTAGCTGTAGCACCACCACCAGCAGCGCCACTGGCAGACACACCAGCACCAGCAGCAGAAGCTTGAATGCTGGCACCAATGCGAGCAGCGGCAGCAGCAGCAGCCGCTACAGCCGCTGCTGCCTGCATAGCTTTGTTGACAGAGGCAGCAGGAGGGGGCAGCAGCGCAGCAGCAGAAGCAGCAGTGGAAGCGGTGGGGGCGGGGGAGGCGGGGGAGGAGGCAGCAGAGGTGCACAGCGCACCTGCCTTGGCAGCAGCGAGACGAGCTTTCACCAGCGCCGCCAGCTCAGGGGGTAGTGCGTCCCCAGCAGGCAATGCACCTGCAGCAGGCGATGCACCTGCAGAGGGCAATGCACTCCCAGGAGGGTTCTTGGACTTGGTTGAAGCGACCGGTTTGCCCTTGGCAGGGCTGTTCCCCTCGCGGTTCTCTAAGCTCTTCCCTTCACGTTTCTGTGCGCCGTTCGCCTTGCTGCCTGTTCTGGGCCGCTTGGGACTTCTATCCGGATCTTCTTTCTCAGCAGGGCCATAAGAATCATCCTCAGAATCTCCTTCATCAGCAGGAGACGCTGCTGCTGCTGCTGCGGCAGGAGAATCGTCTGAAAGCTCTCTATCCATGCCACCCCTCTCCTTCCTCCTCTCCTCCTTTCTCTTCCCTCTCCCCTCGTCGCTCGAATATTCCACCCTTTTCTCCTCTCTCTCCTCCCTCTGCTCCTTCCCCCCATCCTTCCTCCCATCCTTCCTCCCCTCCTGCCTCTCCTCCCTCGTCTGCTCCGCCCGTCGCTTTCGGTCCATGGAACCTTCCTCAGAACCTTCCTCGCAAAAGCTCGATCCTCTCTCCCTTCCCTTGCCCCCTCTCCCCTCGTCGTCCCCCACTCTCTCCGTTCCCCTGCCCCCTTTTCCCTCGTCGTCCCTCACTCTCCCCCTCCACCTCTCCAGTCTATCCCTGACCGCTCCTCTGGACTCGTTTTTTGGCAGATCTCTATCCTTATCCCCGTTCGTGTCTCGCAACTCCTTATCGCGGACACCTCTGTCTTTCCCTTCAGCACGGAAATCCCTACCCCTGTCACCGCTTCGAACGTCCCTATCACCGCTTCGAACGTCCCTGTCCCGGTTTCCGCGGATGTCCATATCGCCACCGCGCGCTTTCCGCTCCCGTTCTGCTCGCCGGTCCTCCCAACCACCCTCTCTCTCCTGAGAACCTTTCTCTCTTATCGTACCCCGGTCATCCCTACCCCTGTCCCTATTTCTGTCTCCATCCCTATCCCTATCTCCATCCCTATACCTATCTCCATCTCTATCCCTATCTCCACTCCTATCCCTATTTCCATCTCCATCTTCTTCCCTGTCCCACTTTCTGTCTCGCTCGATTCCTCGTTTCGCTTCCCTGATTCTCTCTTCTTCCTCCTCCCGCATTCGCGTCGACCGATCTACCTCCCGCTCCCGCTCCCGCGCTCCCCTCCCCTCTCCGCTCCTCCTAACTTCCAGTTCCCTGCTTTCCCGCTCTCCCCTTCCCTCTTCGCGCATCCGACGCGTTTCTTCCCCGTTCGTCTCGCTTCTTCTTTCCCACCCCTTTTCCCGCTCCCGCCCTCTCTCTTTGCTCCTATCTCTCTCCTTCTCCATCACTCTCGGTCGCTCCCTCTGCTCCCTCTCCCTTTCCTTCTCTCTATCCCGCTCTCCTCCCCTCTTCTGCCTCTCCCTCCCCCTGTCCATTGCCGTTCCCGTACCCCTAGCTGTGTCTGTTTCTAGATAAGTCTGAGAGAGTCCTTACCTCTGCTCTGTCTGTTTTCAACGTCCTTACCTCTTGCTCAACATCGTAATCTCTAATCCCTGCTTGTAGAAAAAATAATAGCAGATCTAATTCTTCGTTGCTAACTACCTCGCTCTTAGACTTCTCTGCTTAGCCTTCACAACGAAAAATCCTTGTTCTGACAAAAAAAAAACGGGCTTGTTCACAGTCGATGCTCTTTAGAGCCCTGTTTTCTTCCGTTCCGCTCTTAACTTCTATACGCTCGTCGCCCGAAACCAAGTGACTGCTAGCTTGCACACGAGAGGACAAGATGATGAAGCGAGCAGCGTGAGGGATGGAATGCAGGCTGCGTGGCACAATTTCACAAAGCAGGAGCTGTGGAGCCAGTTTTATGACCGTTGAGGTTTGCGTGTTTTGCCCGGTGAACTGGGGTGCAAAGCTTTTGTGCGGCTACGAATGTTCGGGTTTTGCGGGGGAACTACAGAACAATGCATTCAAGTATGAAAATCAAGAATGTGATGACTACTGGATGATTGAATAACAAGGTTATATAGGCGGAAACGAGCCAGGCGAGAACTTAGGGATGGTATACCTCAGCCGACGAAAACCGCCGCCCAATTTCGCGGTTGCGATAGGACAACGAACCCCCTCGGGATTGACGAGCTCCTGACGACTTGCGAGTGGCAAACTGGGGCGACCTGGCAGTCCTCCGAGGCTCTGAACCCCTCGGGATTGTCGACTATCTGACGACCTCGGGTTTCGCTGAGAGAAACACGAGAAGGATACCTCAGCGGACCCTGAACCACAGCTCGACACGTTGTGCGCCGAGCCGCGGTTACTGCCACGTGGCTTAGTAGGGACGGCCGAGATCGACCTTGACAATCGGGAGGTGCCACGACGGCGCCGACGTGGCCCCGCTTCGCACCACCGGGTATATTTCGCTGCGCGCGAAACCTGGCGCGCCGACGAAAAAGGTAACCATCGTCCACGCGGCGAAAGACGACTGGGATGGTATACCTCGGCGAAGAGAGCCCCAGAGTCAGGGAATGTCGGCGTCGACCAAGCCTCCGGCCACGCGCCTACTCGCAGGTCGATGAGGCTTGCGCGGGAGAGCAGGACGCTACGGCATTTCGGGAGAGTGGAACTAGGTCATTGGCCTATTGCACGTGGCGCACGTGAATTCCACCGTGGCAAGGCACCGGCGGGAGTGCCGTTGAGCGCAGAGCGGCGTGACACTAGACATGCATCGATCGTGACACGTCATGCCCGTGCACAGCGGCGCTTGCAAAGAGGGCTGCGTGGAGCGCGGCAGGTGCGCAGTGGCTCGCAACCATACCCCTCCTTGACCACGCACAACGCTCTCATTCTGCCGGTTCAGCTTCGTGTTTCTCTCATGCTCCTGTGCGCCATCTAGCACTTCGTTTTCTTCACAGGACCCTCGCTATCTCTGCGGGTGTAGGTTACTCGACGGCCGAGTCGACCGAGCGGCGGCACAAAGGCGACGACCTGGAATAGACTGCCATAGGTCGGTGTTGGGGTCGACCATCGTCGACTTCGCCTTACTAGGTTCTAGGTCGTCATCTAGGAAAGTCGGCGACGATAGATCAGGGCGACGATAGCATCTCCCAACCTTACCGAGTCGGCGACGCGTGGCCAGAGGAAGGGCTAGTGCCCAACAGCCACAACAACTTATCCCACCCCCCGCCGATTCGGTAGACGACGACATCAAAGCGCAACTGGAACGACTCGAGGTCGACGCTGAGTTAGAAGCACTTGAGAGGGAATTCGAGGAAGACAGCCGCAGGACGATTAGGGCGTACACCGCACCCGTGAATCAGTACCATCTCTGGTTGACCAATCTTTCCCTCTTCCACGGCCGGCGGTAGAGCATACGAGCGGTCATGGACGACGTCGACATGCCCGACGTTGGTACCCCAACCGACCACAGTCCGTCCTCTGCCTCCGTAGAGACGCTGAAGTTGCTTTACGATCTTGACAAACTTACTCAGATTCCCGAAGGGGAGTACACCAAGGACATACCGAATCCGCCAATTGGGGAGTTTACGAAGAAGTCGACACCGACGGCAGATGGGCAGACTGGACCTTCGTCGGTGCCCGCCGGCTCGGAAAACCAAGGTGATAACGACGAGGAGGACGAGGAAGAGAGCGACGACGAAGTCGACGACCGTCCTCCGCGTAGCACGAATCCGCGCACCTTGGAAGAACGCCTTAGGCGGGAATTTGAATACATACGTGACATGCTCGACGCGGACGAGAAGGAGGACGATCAGCACATGGCGGTGCCGCGCGAAGGGTGGAAGGCGACGGACTTTGTAGTGGACGACATGGTGTACTCCAGCATTGACGTGCTCATAATGGACGCCCTACGACACCTACAATGCTTGGAGAAGAATAGCACGCTCAGGCTGTACACCGCGTTCATCTACCACTACAAGAAGTGGGCGGCGAAGATGCTGAAGCAGCTACGCGACAAGCTACCCCATGAGCAACGACTTAGGCACGTCGACGAGATCGGCCACTACATCCGCGACAACAAGAAAGAGGATTGGTGCAACGAGAAAGTGGTCCGCCGACAGTACATCTGGCTGCACGGCCCTAGGGTCACCGAAACCCGGCTGCGCGCCTACGTGAAGCAAATGAGCCGTGAGTGTAACCTCATTGTTGACCAGCCCGGGGAGGAGAACAATGCCACGCGAACGGGGCCTGTGAGGTCGACAACTGTGCACACGATCCTCGGCCGGATAAAGGCATGCCAGATGGCGGCGAGGGTGGAGGCGACGCTGTACCGAGAGAAGGAGCTGGGCCTCATGAGGGAGATCTCGGTGGTGAGATCGGAGGTGCGGTTCAACGTCCGCCACAAGAACGAGAGGGACCTCAAGTAAGTTGGTCGACAACCTTATTATATATCACTGTGCACTGTGAAGTCGACGCAGTCTAACAGAATTTCCCCGCCGATTTGCGTTCAGGAACTGCGCCGACCGTCGACGCGGCACCATCGGCGATACCTACACCGCCGAGCAGTTCCGCCAGATCATGATGAGGGTGCTGCCGACATGGGCGGCGGCGGCGTGGAACCCGCGGGCTACCACTCCGTCGCAGACGCTGTGGCGATTCCTGCTCATCAAGGTGCTCACGCTACTCTCCCACCACACTCTCCTGCGCGGCGGCAGCATCCGCGAGATCACGCTCCCCGACATCTTCTTGTACCACCTGGCGAGCACCTCGGAGGTGAACCCGGATAGCCAGCCGGTCGTCATGGTGATCGCCGCGCGTAACTCGAAGACTTCCAAGGATGCCCGTCTTCAGCAGAGCTGAGCTGGAAGCGGAGCTGTGCGCCGTCGGCGAGACCGGCCTGTGGCTGCACTTCATCCTCGACCAGATCGGTCAGTTCTCCGGCACCGACTTTCTTTCGCCGCTTGACATCACAGAACGCGAACGCTGGTACAAGAAGCATCTCTTCTTCGCCAGAAACGACAAGGAGCAGGAGGAGCTCTCCTCCGCCACCCACCAACGTTGGACTCGGCAGGTGTGGACGACCAACAAGGTGTTCTGCAAAAGGAACGTGCACGCCGCCCGCGCCGGAGGTGCGCAGGAGTTAGCCATCGGAGGGACGCCGCGCGCCCTGATCGCCGAGCTGGGACACTGGGCTCTCGACAAGATGACGCGTGCGTACATCACGGCCATTCCCGTTGGGGTGGTGATGCAGAAGGCCGGCTACTCGGGACTCAAGCAAGACTACTTCTTGGGGCGCAGCAGGGTCGAGCCCTCCGACAAACTCCTGGACCTGCTCGCCGAGCACATCTTCCCCGGCGTGGATGCTATGCTGCGCGATGTATGTCACGCGACGCCGACAATGTATTTCAGTCGTCGTGGCCTAGTTGGCTGCCCAACTCCCTACTAACCCACGCCACTTTCCGACTTGCAGGCGGAGACGCGTGCCGTCAATGGGAGCGACGCCGCTGCAGCCGCAGTGCACTTCTTGCGCACCCTCGTGATGTTCCGACGAATCGTCGCCGAGGACCTCGCGGTGAAGCTCGTCCGCACACCGTGGCACCCGTACGTCCAAGGTTCCAAGCTCTGCAGGATTGCCCTCTTCCAGCACTGGGCGAAAAGGGTCGAGTCGGTCGACACCGATACGATCAAAAAGCGCCGGGACCCGACTCAGATACAACCGGAGGTGAGTTGCCGACCATGTCGGCGTTGTTGGATTTTAGCCGGTGAATTCTAACCTCTTGTCGCCTTTCCGCACACCCAACATTGCAGGAAATATCCGTGCGCATGGACACCCAGTATCACAACATGTCCCTCAAGGAGGCGCTGAAGAAGGAGGTCGAGCGCTCGGCGCTCGAGAAGCTAGGCTTTCAGGAGACGATCGAGAAGCAAAACGACACCATCGCGTCGCTCACCGCCAAGCTTGCTCGACTCACTGAGGCACTCCGTGTGTCAGAAGCCCGGAGGATGCCGGCGGCGCCGACGTCGGCTACCGATCAAACTCCGGGCGAAGGTGGCTCCGCGGATTCGGCCAACACGGGGACCGGAGCCAAGAGAGATGATGGGAAACCCCCGCCACCCCCCCAGACGGCAGAGGAGGCCAGTTACGAGCTCAACGTCGTGCAACCTTGGCGGGATTCAAAGACCGTGTGGGACGCTTGGCGCCTCTGGAACTCCGCCACCGCCAATGACACCCGTCGTCTTTGCGACAGGGTCGCCGAGCCGGGGTTCATCGACCGCCACACCCTCCTCGCCGGCGCGACCCAGGGTGCACTCAACATGAGGGTGCGCCGCATGCTGAAGGCCATGGATGCGGTGCGCCAGCTACGCGCGAGCGACGGCGATGCCGACACCGAAGCCGTGGTCGATGCACTGAACACGATCGCGGCATCGGGCATTGGTACCTTCTGCGATGCCCTCACGGTGCTCAACCCGGAGACGGCACCGACGATGTCCAAGGAGCCTGGCATGGGCGTCAAGGGGCTTGGCCCCAAGGTGGTCTCGAAGCTACGCCTCGCCTGTGCGCTGGTGGCGCTCGAGCTGAAGCCGACGACGTGGGTCGACCGCCTGTTTCCAGACACCTGGGAGGAGCAGATGCCGAAGACCGTGGCCGACTTGGCCAAGCAGACCGCACCTGCGCAGCGTCCTCCGTCAAAGCGCAAGAAGTCGGCATGAAGATCCTCGGTGTATATGTGTTAGCGTAGGTTGATGATACCCTAATTTAGCAAACCGTTGTGTTCCCATCGTACTTGTTCATTTTGATGCAACAAGAACATACATGATCCAACACATACATCCGAACCAGATATGTCGGACTCCGACATAGTCGCCACCATGTGTGTGCAATTCATTGTGCCTTATTCATGTCGACATCGCTGACTGCATGCAAACGGCGCAAACGGCGCCCATCACGCTATAACCGAGCAATCATACCACCTAGCGCTCCTTCCGCGCGCCGACTACGCATCCGTGCTGTCCATGCCCGCTCGATATGCGCGTCAAACGGCACATCGATGCCGACCTCCTAGAGTTTCGGCCACCTGGGCGGCGCGGCACATTCCCCAAAGCGCCGACCATTGACCATCTCGGCCTAGCCGACGATGCTCATCGCCGAGAATATACATGCATACAGCCAGACGCACTATGTCGACACCGTACGACGGGGTTCATCGAACCGGGGCCCGCATTTGAGTAACATGGTAGATATCAGGTCGACCTTGCCGAGGAGTGTTCTAGTAACATGCATTACCAAAAAGTTACAGCCAACAAAAGAAATCCCAACGAAAACTATACAATCAAACGAAAAAAAAAATCCCAAAAACACCACATAATCGACGCCGCCCATACCAGGCCATCCTTGCAAGAAGACCTACTTGCGCTCCCTCCTGCCGCCCATGGCAGATTGTTATGCCGACTACGCCGCCGTGCTGTCCTTGCCCGCTCTGCCCTTCTTCCCCTTCTTCCCCGAGCTTTCCTTGCCCTGCTTGCCCCTCGGCCTCTTCCTCCCCCTGTGTTCGATGTCGTACTCCATCTGCGCGTCAAGCGGCACCGCGATGCCGATCTTCCTGAGTTTCGGCCCATCCACGGGGCACATTCCCCAGAACGCGAGGGTTTCCACCGTCGCTCGTGCGATCAGTTTGGCCTCGGCTTCAACATCCAACCCCGGATAGGCTTTGGCCAGAGCGGTGGACTCCAGCGCCGGTGCGACGTTGTGCGCAACCTCCCCAAGGGGTTGCTGCCTGCTGATCGCGGCCTCCAGCACCGCCGTCATGACCTTCTTGAACTCGGCGGCGGTAGTCTCGCTGGCGCCGACCAACATCGCCGCCGCCTTCCCTTCGCGGACGGCATCAGCCACCTGGGCGCCGTCGCCCTCGACTAAGCACCACAGTGCGCAAGCTGAGGCCGACAGCGCCTGTGCGACCTTCGCCGTCTTCTGATCCGTGTCGCCCTCCATTCTCGCCGCGGATGCAGCGACCTCCCCATACGCCGCGCACAAGGACACGCGATCAAGCATGGCCGACATCATTGCATCCGACTTCCCGTCGGCATCGACGGGGAACCAGATCGCGGGCAAAAGCGCGTCGTGGTGCGCATCGCCTGATGTCTTGTACGCTCTATACTTCCCGAGGATGTCGTCGAACCTGTCACGCAATCACACGAAACTGGCCGTTAGGAACGCCGACGTCGACATCATAGCTTGGCCGACGTTTATCCGACTTACCTTGTCCTTGGGAGGAACGCGCCCCTTGCCCAGATCACCGTCCACATCCCAGTCGGCAAGAACCGGACTTCCTTCCACACCGCCCTCCACTGCTTCATCACTGTTTCCTCCAGGCCGGTGAGCTCGGCCATGAGGATCTTGCTGACGAAACCGTCGTACAGGAGGTACACAATGGAGTGAAGGTACGCCAGCTCCATCTTGTCGCGGGACTTGCCGATGTATCTGCTCTCGTTCCCGACCACCTTGATCTCGCCCACCCACCCTTGCTTGTCGCCCGTCGAGTCGTGGCGGATGCCATGACCCTTCCGTTCTTTCACCTTCACCTTCTCCTCCTCCGTCGCCGCCTCCTCCTCCTCCAGCTTCTTCTCCTCCGCCTCCTCCACCTTCTCCTCCTCCTCCTTCTCCTTCTCCTTCTCCTTCTCCTCCTCCTCCTCCTCCTCCTCCTTCTCCTCCTCCGTCTCCTTCTCCTTCTCCTTCTCCGTCTCCTTCTCCTTCTCCTTCTCCTTCTCCTTCTCCTTCTCCTTCTCCTTCTCCTTCTTCTCCTCCTCCTCCTTCTCCTCCTCCTTCTTCTCCTTCTCCACCATCGCCGTCGCCATCCCCTGTCCTTTCTGCACCGACTTCACCATCGCCGACGTCGCCCGTGTTTTCTTCTTCGAGCTCGGCCTCGCTTTCCCTGCGTCGATCGTCCCCTTCCGTTTCGACTTTCCCGCGCCGACCGCAGCAGTGGTCGTCTTTGGCTCCGCTGTACAGCCGGTGGGACTCGCCGAGTCCAAGATGGCCAGCACAGGGGGCTGCTTGGGGCGGTTTACCGCTTCCAACAGGTCCTGGATGGCAGCGATATCGGCGTCGTTGTGGTCCTTCGCCGCCTGTGCAGGGTCAACTGATCTGCCGCCCGTGGCTAGCGCTGCACTCACGCCCTTCTCCAGCACCGCCTCGATAGTAGCCGCACCGAGTGTGTGTGCAGCTACGGTCACCGACGTCGGCGTCGCGCATGAGCTGGATACCGGCTGAGCCCGTGCCGGCGCAGCCGCAGTACGTACGCCTAACTGGGCGCGAAGCAACGCGGACTTTGGGTCCACAGGAGGACGGGCGGCGATGATAGGCGCGGTAGGTGGGGCACTGGACGTTGTGGCGGCGACCTGGGGAGTGACCGAGCGACGTGCTGTTGTGGCCGGCGCGGTGCCGACCACGGGAGGCTGCTGCACGTCCTGTCGATGGGTCTCCATGCGGCTGAGCATCTCCCTGAGCGCGTTCGCCTTTGGGGCGGACGGACCAGCGCGGTTAGCCGCAGCATCCACCGCGTCAACCTTGGCGGCAGACGTGCCTGCTGGTGCTGGAGTAGCCGCAAGGGACGGCCCATCGTTGTTGGCGGCTGACGGGGCGACCGGCGCGCTGCTAGCCGCAGGGGGTTTGCGGGGGATCGACGTGGTCCCCGCCACTCCGACGGACGGTCCTTTGACGGTTTTGGCGCCGCCATCTATCGCCGTTGGTGCGGTCGCTAGACTGGCCGGCTTCTCGGCGACCAATGGCGGGGCTGTTGGTCCAGCCTCTTGAGCGGCAACCTGGTCGGCAGGGCCCCCCTCCGCACTCCTGATTCCATCGCCCTTGCTGTGCGTCCTTATCACCTTGGCCCCGTTCTTCTTCAGCTGGTCGACCACGCTCGTACCTCCGCTCCCATCGGCTCCCTTGCTCCGCGAGCCGCCTGGAGCCACCTGGCCGACGCCGCGGCTCCCATCGGCTCCCTTGCTCCGCTTCGAGCTCAACGCATCATCTCCGCCGCCCGCCCTTTTCGCACCCTTCTTGTCGGCCTCGTTGTCCGACGGCGACGACCCATGCCGACCAGGCGCCAGATGGCCGATCACCTGGGTCATGAGGTTTAACCCGGACGCAGCAAACGACTGCTGGGTGGCCTCAGTCACCGCCTTCAACACGTCCGCCTTGAAAGACTTCATGAGCTCGTCCGGGAAGGCTGGCGGTGGGGCGGGCTGCGTGGGCGGCGGGACGGCGACGCGTTGAGTTACGGCGGCGGCGATGTTGGTCTGCGCGGCGACTAGGTGCTTCGATATGTATTCCTCCAATCCCTTCCTCGCTTCGTCCACGTGGTTGCCCAGGGCGACGACCGCGTTCGCACGTTGCACCGCCATAACCCCCTCCGGATTCTCTAGATCGTCCAACCAGCTCTCCGCCCTCTCGGCGTACGCCTTCATCGCCTCCCATGCTTCACCCATGTTGGCAGTGATGTTCTCCGTCACGGTCGTCGCCATGGTCAAGGACGCGTCCATCAGCCGACTCGACGCGTCCTGGTCGGAGGCGGCGACCTGGTCGGCCAACGACCTGAGCTTGTCCACGAGGTGGCCAATCCCCATCGCGAACCTGTCCACCCGACCCCTCTCCACTCCGAGCGCCGTCTCGAGACGAGCATTTTCAGCCCTCAGCCACATGTTCTCCTGTCGCAGCTGCGCGACGACGGCCGGCGTTGCCTGCCGACCAGCTGCTGAGGAACCCGGTTGACGGCCCGCCTCTACCGCTCCACCCCGGCGTTCCACCCCTGCGTTCCCTGTGGTGGTCTCCACGCCCGTCGGCGTCAGGGACGCGACGTTATCCTCCTCCTTCGCGTCGCCAACCACATTGCCGACCACGTGCGCCTCCTCCACGCCGACATTCTCCACATCGGCACCCTCCCCTCGCACGTACACAACATCCGCCGACATCCCGCCCGTTCCCTCCACGGCCGCCGCCGCTCCCTCCACGGCCACCGCCGCCGCTCCCTCAACATCCTCCATCTCGAATTCGACCCAGGGGAACTCTACCTCCTCCTCCCCCTCTTGCTGCTTCTCCCCCTCCGCCACTTGCTCCACCGACCCGAAACCCTGCTCCACGGCCTCCGCCGCCGCCGCCTCCTTGTCCTCCTCCTCCTCCTCATCATCCTCCTCCTCCTCCTCCTCGTCCTCCTCCTCCTCCTCCTCCTCCTCCTCCTCCTCCTCCTCCTCCTCCTCCTCCTCCTCCTCCTCCTCCTCCTCCTCCTGCCCATGCCCCTGCTCACGCTCCTCACGATCCTCCTCGTTATCATCCTGATCGTCGGTGTCATCCTCCTCCTCCTCCTTTTCCTGATCCGCGGTCCTCGCCACAGCCCTCTCTGCCTCCTCATCTGCCTTGTCGACGCCGTCTCCGGCCTCTCCGCTTGTGTCGGCGACACCGACTGCTTGGGATGCCGAAGGGGGCTCCGCGGCGTCGTCTTCACAGGCATCGGCACCAACTCCGACATGGCCTGACCGTCTGCGTGCGACGTGTTCCTTGATGTTTGTCATCATCCGAATCCGCAGCTCCTTCAACCCCGAAACGAGGACCTTGTCCATGCTGGTCGCACTGCGACGGTCGTCGCCGGTCAGGCGATCCATCCTCTTCACCACCCAGCACAGCGCGCTCCGAGCCGCCCGAGCCGCCCGAGCCGCCCGATCTGCCCGAGCCGCCCGAGCCGCCCGAGCCGCCCCACCAGCCCGAGCCGCCTGCTGCTGACCTACCCGACTCTCCTAGCCCGGTGAGACTTTCAGCTGCTGCCATGGCCACCCCCAATGTTCTTACTTTTGACGCTGAGGGGAGGGCCATTGACTTTGCCGTCTGGATCGAAGACCTGCAGCTGTACTTACTGTGTGATGCGATAGATGAGGTCTCTCTCTTTGACTTTGTCTCTGGCGCTGTCCCTGCCCCGCCTGCTGATGCTGACTCTGCCGTTCGCTCCAAGTGGGCGACCCGCGATGCTGCTGCACGTCTTGCTGTGCGTCGCCACCTCCCTTCCTCTGAGCGTGCCCACTTTAGTCAGTGCAAGACCGCTCAGGCCTTGTACGACGCTGTAGTTGCACGCTACTCCTCCCCTTCCTCCGCTACCCTTAGCCGCCTCATGCTACCGTTTCTCTTCCCTGACCTCGCTTCCTTTCCCACTGTTGCTGACCTCGTTACCCACCTCCGCGCTAGTGGCACCCGCTACCGCGCTGCCCTTCCTGCTGAGTTCCGCGCTGCGAACCCTCCTCCCATGTACATCACTCTCTACTTTCTCGTCACCCGTCTCCCTGAGTCCCTTCGTGTCGTTAGGGACCAGTTTCTCTCTGTCTGTCCCACCACTCTCACTGTCGACCTCCTTGAGGAGTCCCTGCTAGCGGCTGAGAAGAGTATAGTCGCTGTAGGGGCCTCTCGGGGTGACCCTCGCACCCCCATCTTTGAGGGGTGTGGTCCTTCCCCCCTGCTGCCCTCTATCGCCTCTGCCGCTGCGGCCGACCTCGCTGGTTTTGAGTCGGTCGGCGCGGCGTCTGCCCCCAGCGGCAGACGCCGCTCTGGCAAGGGCAAGGGGGGCAAGGGAGCGGGTGGAGCTAGAGGGGGCGGTGGAGGAGGCGGTGGGGGTGGAGGGGGGAGTGGGGGTGGCGGTGGGGGTGGTGGCGGGAGTGGAGGTACTGGTGGCGGCGGTGGAGGCGGAGGTGGCGGCGGAGGTGGTAGCGGAGGAGGCGGTGGGAGCGGTGGGGGCGACGGTCCTGGTGGGGGAGGTGGCGGTGGAGACGGGGGTGGCGGTGGAGGCGGGGGTGGCGGTGGAGGCGGGGGTCGGAGTGGCTCGTCCCAGCGGAGCAGCTCTGGGGGTGGTCAGCGCCAGCAGCAGCAGCAGCAGCAGCAGCCGCAGCAGCAGCCGCAGCAGCAGCAGCGCTCTCGCACCGTCCCCGGCCCTCAGCAGCTCCGTGAGTGGTACTTGCAGCGTCAGCGCGGTGGTGCGCTTGGTCCCTGCCCCTACGTTCTTCGCACTGGTGACCGTGCAGGGGAGAGGTGTGGAGGCGCCCACACAGCCCGTCGCTGCTTTGGCCGCCTGACCGTCGCCTGGCGTCAGCAGTTTCCGGAGGCCGCTGAGATCCCCCGCTGGGGAGAGCTGTCTAGGGCTGGTGTAGCTATTTATGATCTTGACTTTGATGCTATTCTCTCTGCTATGTATGCTGTGACTGGTAGTGATGAGGATGACTGTTACCGGTGTTTCCCGCCCGACCCGGGCATTGGTACAGCCGCGTCAGGTACTAGTGAGGCTGCTGCTCTAGGTGCCAGTGCGTCTGTGCTCTCAGGTACTGGTGAGTCCGCCCTCTCAGGTACTGTGTCGGCTTCGGCCTCTCACACCTTCACCCTTGACTCTGGGGCGTCTCGCTCCTTCTTTAGGGACCGCACCACTCTCACGCCGCTGAGTCGGCCTGTTGCGGTGTCCCTGGCTGACCCCTCTGGGGGGCCTGTCCTGTCTCGCTTCTCCACTGTCCTCAAGTGTCCGGCGGCCCCCTCTGGCACCCTGACTGGTCTCTACCTCCCCTCGTTCTCGACGAACTTGGTGAGTGGTGCTGACCTCCAAGATGCGGGTGTCCACCAGTTCACCCCTGCTCGTCAGCGGGTGACCCACTGCACGGAGGCGGATACAGGTCGCCACCTGGCTACGTTTACACGTCGGCCAGGGTCGAGCCTGTACACACTGACCACTGCTTCTCCTCCAGGTACTGCGTCTGGTAGGGTCCCTTCGTCTGGTCAGGTGTTTGCTGCAGCGTCCAGGTCTGGTCCTGAGTCTGCCCCCTGTTCGTGTCGTCGTCTGTCTCACGAGACCCTCCTCTGGCACCACCGCCTTGACCACCCCTCTCTGCTTCGGCTCAGAGGCATGGCCTCGCGAGTCCTTGTGTCTGGTCTTCCCCGGTCCCTCCCTCCCCTTCCTCCGGGCCCTGGCCCTGCCTGTGTCCCCTGTGTCGAGGGGCGCCAGCGTGCTGCCCCTCACTCCTCCCAGTTTCCTCCGACAGAGGCCCCGTTGCAGACGCTTCACATGGACGTGTGGGGCCCAGCCCGCGTCCGTGGACAGGGTCAGGAGCGCTACTTCCTGCTGGTGGTTGACGACTACTCGCGTTACACCACAGTCTTCCCCTTGCGCAGCAAGGGTGAGGTCACTGAGGTGTTGATCGACTGGATCCGCGCAGCTCGTCTTCAGCTTCGGAGGAGCTTTGGCTCTGACTTCCCTGTTTTGCGTCTGCACTCGGACAGAGGCGGAGAGTTCTCCTCTGCCCTCCTGAGTGCCTACTGTCGTGTGCGAGGCATCCGTCAGACCTTCACGCTTCCGGACTCACCACAGCAGAATGGGATTGCTGAGCGCCGCATTGGCATGGTCATGGACGTCGCTCGTACGTCCATGATGCATGCGGCAGCTCCCCATTTTCTGTGGCCGTTTGCGGTCAGGTACGCTGCGCACCAGATCAACCTCCACCCCAGGGTCTCTTGACCGGAGACCTCCCCAGCTCTGCTGTGGACGGGGAAGGTTGGCGATGCGTCGGCGTTCCGGGTCTGGGGATCTCGGGCGTTTGTTCGCGACCTGTCTGCGGACAAGCTGTCCCCTCGTGCTTCTCCCTGCGTCTTCCTGGGGTTCCCCCCCGACGCCCCTGGGTGGCAGTTTTACCACCCCACCTCTCGACGTGTTCTGTCCTCCCAGGACGTCACGTTCGACGAGTCGGTACCCTACTACCGCCTCTTCCCCTACCGCACTCCGTCCCTCCCCCCACCCCCGCTCTTCTTGGTACCAGGTCCCCCCCCGGTAGTCCCCCTCCCCCCTCAGGGTCCTGCCCCTTCAGGTGTGTCCCAGGTAGACGCGGTTGAGCCTGTCGAGGTCACTGGTGACTCTGGTGCTGCTGCGGGAGCTGAGCCTGGGGGTGCGGAGCCTGGGGGTGCGGAGTCTGGGGGTGCTGAGCCTGGGGGTGCTGTACCTGGGGGTACTGAGCCTGGGGGTGCTGAGCCTGGGGGTGCTGTTCCTGGGGGTGCTGAGCCTGGGGGTGCTGTGCCTGGGGGTGCTTCGTCTCGCCGGGAGCCACTCTCCCCACAGGAGCTGCGTGAGTGGTTTGCCCGGCGCTGGAGGCGTGCTGCTGGAGCTGGTGGTTCTTCGGCTGCAGAGGGTACTGCTGCCACGCGTCCTGGCGGTGCTCGTCCTGTGGGTGCTGGAGCTGCTGGGTCTGAGAGCTCTCCTGGAGCTGGTACTGCTGAGGGTGTTGACGCTGAGCCTGCAGTTGGAGGTCCGACTGACAGTACTCCTGGTGCTGCTGCTGGAGGTTCTGGAGCGTCTGGTGGTTCTGCTGGAGGTGCTGCTGGAGTGGGTGCTCCTGACGGGCCTGCTGGTGCTGTTCCTGCTGTTTCTGGCGTCACTGCGCGGCCCCGACCGTACTTCGTTCCGCTCCTACAGCAGGTTCTTGGTCTTGCACCTCCTCCTCCTCCCTTAGAGGGTCCGCAGCCTGTCCGGTCACAGCCACAGCTACAGCCTGCCTCCCCTTTGCCTGCTCCTTCTCCCTACGCTGGTCCGACTGGAGGTCTTACTGAGCGTCGTGAGCCTGCGTCTCGTCCTGCGTCGCCTGTTCGTACTGAGCGCGCTAGTGGTCGCGGGTCGCGTCAGCGTCCTCCTCCTGTCCCTGGCACGCACCGGATGTCACTGCGTCCGTCCACTGCTCCTCTGCGTGCCCCTTTACCTTCTCCTCCTACTTCCTCTCTTCCTGCTCTTGCCGACCCGGAGTCGGACTCTCTTCGTGCTGCCAGTCCTACTGTCACGCGTCTCCTTGCTACTGCTGTCACTGACCCTTCCTTCGAGTCGTCTGCTGCGTCTGCCCTTGTCACTGAGCTTGTCGACTTTGCTGCGCGCTGTCGTCTAGACTACGCTGCTCGTCTTGTCACTGAGTCTGAGTCCGCCTGTCCTCCGTCCGTCGGGGGTGAGTGTGCCCTTGGCACGGACGTCCTTGAGGACAGGCAGGAGGAGTTCCAGTGTCTAGCCGCTGCTTCACCTCGTCTCGCGTCTGTACTGCTAGCCCCTGAGGGAGACCCGGATGCACCAGACATCCCGACTCCGCGCTCTTACGCGGAGGCGGTAGAGGGTCCCTACTCCTCTCAGTGGCAGGCAGCTATGGATGCAGAGATGGCTTCCTGGAAGTCCACAGGCACCTACGTTGACGCTGTTCCCCCTTCTGGGGCGAACATCGTCAGTGGCATGTGGATTTTCAGGGTGAAGCGGCCGCCGGGTTCTCCGCCTGTCTTCAAGGCGCGTTACGTGGCTCGTGGCTTCAGTCAGCGGCAGGGGGTTGACTACTTTCAGACCTTCTCCCCCACCCCGAAGATGACCACTCTTCGGGTTCTGCTGCACGTTGCTGCTCACCGTGACTACGAGCTGCACTCTCTCGACTTCAGCACAGCTTTCTTGCAGGGCAGCCTGCACGAGGAGATCTGGCTGCGTCGCCCACCTGGCTTCACTGGGTCTTTCCCTCCTGGTACCCAGTGGAGTCTCCGGCGTCCAGTCTACGGTCTCCGCCAGGCGCCACGTGAGTGGCACGAC